TATATAAAAGCATAATTATAAGGCTACGAAAACCAAATGAATTTTATTTTATAGCGATTATACATTTGTATAAACATATTAATGGGTAGAAGATTCAGATTCAGATTTGATAATAAAGCAGGCCAAATATTACATACTGGCCCTTTAACTACGTGGCTCAGGTAGTCACTTTATCGTCTATGTTTTCTTTCTTGTTGTATATTGCCCTTGTGAAGCACTTTGTGACCTGTGTCTGAGAAAAGCACTGTATAGACAAACTTTACTCACATAACAGACAGAAACATTTTACATTCTCACCCTTTGTCAATGGACTGGTGTCCATCTTTGAAAATAATATATCTTTGCACAGACTGGTCACTTTTCATGGACACAAAGCTGGGTTCAGGTCCAGGTTCAGGTTCAGGTTCAGGAGGGTCTGGTCTCTGATGCTGGGTCCTGATAGAATCACAAACACTGATAAATGTATAGATACACTGAAATTCTGCTGAACATTATGTTGACTTTTGAATGTTTTTATACTGATAACATCAACCTGAGATACTATTTTTTCATTATTATTTTGGTATATATTATTTTGATTAATTAGCCATATCATGTCTCAAAAAGATGCAGAAAAACTAGTCTGTGCATTTGTCACTTATATGTTGGACTATTGCAATTTAGGGAAGCACGATAGTGTCAGCACATCATCAGCTGATATTGGCTTTGAAATTAAATATCTGAATTGGCCAACATGCCGATTTCTGAAGAGACGAAAAAACATTTTTATTTTTTAAATTGACAAAGTGAACATGTACAAAACATCAAGTAAATGATGCAAAACAACACAGGTAACAAAACAACATATTTGAAAGATATACAAGTATGTATGAAGAATATAAATGAAAAAAACAGTCAGATAAGCAGACAATAAAATATATATATGTAATCCTTTCACAGTCGGCTCATTCAGCGTTAATTACCACCAGAGCAAACATGCAGAAAGTATAACTGACATGCTTGTAAGTTAACCAGTGATAACGAGTCTTAGGTGCTTATGATTCAGCTCCTAACTTTTTAACAGACTAAACATAGTATGAAATGCTGATACTGCTGTCTGAAGATAACATTCAAAATCACCAAAAAGTAACCAAACAACCATATAAGTTTGTCATTTTTGTGTATTAACAAACTGGTATAAATAAATCTGAACAATTAAACAGGTGGGGCCACAGATGTGTCAACGTTACAGTCTGTAAAAGTCTATGTAGTATGTACGTTGGAGCTCAGAGGATTTAATCTGTTACTTACGACACTGCATCATCCTGATCACAGTAAATCCAGGGGTCGCTGTCTAACGAGGTCCTTCACAGGAAAAAAAAAAGTTTAAGTATGATGCCAAAAAAAAAAAAAACCCCACAATGCCAAAGGATGAGTCTCGCAGTGCTGTGTTGTCTCTTCTGCTGTAACGTTCTACATTCTCTCTTGATCCATCGACCGACAGAAACTCCACCGCAAAGCTAGCTAACGGCTAGTGAGCTAAAGCCCACACTAAAAGCTGCTAAAGTAGCTAGCTCAATGCTAACGGGCTGCACCCTTAGAAAACAGAAGGCTGTGAATTATTATTTTCCTCAGGGCTTTTCAAATTTTAAAGGACATGTTCTTTATCAATGCAGATAAATCAGACAATGAAATAACAGTACTACACACTGCAAACACAAATAGGCGATACTGTCATTGAACAGGGTATCACATGAGTAAATGAATAAGGAGACATATAAAAATAAAGATAAACAGGGTACAAGCATACGCATACATACACGTCACAAAGCAGTGAGCTAGTTGGAAACGCTGACCTTAGAGGCTGGAAATATTCTCATCAGGAGAGATGACAAGAACTCTGCTGCTGCAGACAGTCGCACTAAAACTCTTTCCACTGTGGAAAATACAGTGTCAAACCTCAGCGAGTAGTGTAACACATTACTGTTGGCAGGGAGTAATAAGGGATGTAATACTATTACTAAAAAGAGTAACGAGTAATGAGTAATAGATAACATTTTTAGAGTAACAAGCCTGACACTGATGATATCACTGGTTTTTAATGTGTGTTGTGGAGTGACACCGAAATAAAGTTTATCTGTCTATCTCTATTACTGGGAGTGACTCTTTGTGAGCCCTGTGAAGTTTGCAGGGTTGACCCCAAAAATTCGAAGCTTTGAAGCTTCGTTCGATGGCACGGGATTCGATTGTAAAAAATTTTTTTGAAGCTTCGCTGCTTTTTTTTTTTATTTTTTGGGGGGAGGCTTAAAACGCAACACTAACCCGCACCAGTCCGATACTGACAACGAGCACACACAGAGCTGGCAGACATGTCTAAGAGGTCATCAGATGTGTGGTTGCACCGACCATTAGTGTTTTTTCTTTTGTGAATATCTTTATCTTAATTCTAGTGTTGGAAGGAACTACGTTTTCACCATAATTTTCTTTTTTTTAAATCTTAATTTAATCATAATTGTTTTTATTTTTCGGTCTCTGTCACTTTTTGTGCAGGTTTGTCACAAGATAAAACAATTCTTATTTTATTTTACTGGTTCCTTTTTATTTATTTGACATTGAACCTTTTTTCTTGTTACTAATTATGTTAATTATTTAAATTATTAAATTCTTTTCATTTGCAATTTCTGTCAGTGTTTTTTTTATCTAGTAGGGCTACACCAATACATCACGCGACCTGTGTCACATGACCCTCACATGAGCTCTAAAGGTGCGGACACACCAAACCGACATCAAAGAACTAGCGGCGACGAAAGCCAACTGTTGCGTCGTCTACGTCGCCTCACGTCGCCCTGTGTCAGCTGCATTTGAACACACTACACGGACTACATCCGACGGCCAAGTAGCACGTACGTTCTGCGCCTGCGTGAGAGAGAGCGGAGGGAGAGAGTGGTACATCCTGTCAGCCGAGGGGTTTCCTATCTGTGCAGCCGAGCACCGCAGCACCTCCACGGACTATTACATCCAGACGGTCCCGGTGTTTCCTCCGCAGGCTCCACTTCACTCAGCTGCCCGATAAACCCGCTGCTTCTTCCCACTTTAACCTGAATAACAAACCAGGGCTCGGTGCTCCGGTTGGATCCAAACGGAGAGCCGGGGCTAGCTCAGAGACTAGCGGAGGCTAACTGGCTGTGCTTCCCTCCGGTCGCGCTGCGGCTAACGCTCCGCTAGCCGCTCCCAGCTAGCTCCGGTTTGTTATTCAGGTTAAAGTGTGAAGAAGCAGCGGGTCTGTGGGGCAGCTGAGTGAAGTGGAGCCTGAGGAGGAAGCACCGGTTAGCCCCGGTTTCACTACAGGCAGATTCACTCGCTACAGGGGCGAGGAAATAAAACCTGAACAGCCAATCAGAGTGATCTCTCTCACCAACAAGCTCCGCCGCCGATTCAACATGCTCAATCGGCCGAAAAGCCACAGACACCGAAGTGCCGACGGTGCGGGACACACCGAAAAACTAGGCCGACAGACGCTCACTGACGGCCCGACTTTGGTCGACGGCCGACTGTCGGCTTGGTGTGTCAGGGCCTTTAAGATTGCACTTGTTTCCAGTGCATTTTACACCCTGATGAAGACTCTCTAGTGGAAACCTGTTGGTTTATCCATGTATTGATAAAGGATCTTTAACTACAGTCACAGAGCCTCCAGTGTATTTTTGGACTGCCTGCACCATGAACTTTTACACTGAGTAAACTTGCTAGTCATTGTTTTTTTAATCTTTAAGTGACTCTTTGTCCCGTCCTTGAAGAGCACCTGACTTTTTACAGCCAACTCCACAGAACCTGAGCCCAGTGCAGCACTCCCTCAGTCAGACTGACAGGAACACACACAAACATTTTACATTCTTATCTCTGATCAGTAGAAGGATGTCCATCTTTGAGGTGGATGGGTCTCCCCATAGACAGGTCACTGTTAAAGGACACACAGCTGGACACAGGAGAGTCTGACCTGTTGAACACACACAGAGCTGTGAGTGTGAACAGTGATGGTGGAGTGATTTGAGTCATGGACAGTTAGAGATCCTGGTCTCACCTCTGAGCTTTGGTCTGGCTGTCATGTTCCCCACACAGAGTGGTTTTAGAGGGAGGGACTCCCTCCTCTCTGTCCTCAGCCTGATTCATAGCAGAGTCCACACCTTCACACAGACACAACAACATGCAGTCACTCAGTGACATGACACAGACACTCAGAACCCTCAAACCTACGTTTGATCAGATGATTCTAGTTTATTATAAGGTCTGATCTAAAAATATATATTTACAGCCTAATTAAGCTCCGGGGCTATTCACAGCGCAGGCCGAACAACGCCTCTGCATCATCTCATGATTTAACCCTTTGAGGCCTGACAGCAAATCAGCTTGATTTCTTTTAAAAACATGGGAAGAAGGTGATGAACAGTGACAGAGGAAAGGACCCAAAACATCAGCAACAAATTAGTAAAAAAACAAAAAAGAAAATAAAGAAAGAAAGTTAAAAACAAACAAACAAGGTCATGACCTGGAAAGAGTGACATATTTTTTTGCCTTGCTGTTTTCTTTATTCCCTATGTTTTGTTTATATTCATTTTTTTTCTAATTCATGGGACATTTCTTACCAAGTTGCTTGTTCCCTTTTTCCCATGTATTTGAAGGTAATGGCAGCAGGTTGCTCAGAGTTCAAAGGGTTAAATACCTGTGAAAGGCTCCTGAAAGCAGCACAAGAAAAGTGATGTCACTCCAGGTTTCAAAGGGTTAAAACAAAACACCCCAAATATTAAAGGCCCATGATTCATGCGTCAGTCTTGTTGTTGTCAACACCTGCAGCAGTAAACAAAATGCATCTGAGCCAAGTTTCAGCCGTCCGACCAGTTCTGACGTCACAACATGTCTCACTGATGATGGAGCTCAAGTTCAAATCTAAATGCTGCTGATTCTACACCAGAGCCTCCACCTGTGATACGTCCTCATCATTTTATGAGACAAACTCTGAAGAATATTTACACCTGCAAGCATCAGAGAGACATTCAGACTCAGCCAATCAGCATCCAGAACCCTTCCTCCTGTGCAGGTGAACAGTGACACAATGTGACCATCAAACATGATCAGATTCCTCTGGTAGGATTCTCACCTGCTGAACTCACCTCAGGTCGACTTACAGACACTTTCCACCTTCATGTGTGGAGGAAACACTGGGAGAGAAGACGCTGCTCATTTCTTCCTCGTCTGTCCTGGTGTCTGTGTGCGTCTGATCTGAGGACGCCGTCACTCCTTCATACCTTCACAGTCCAAGTCTAAAAAAAAAAACAGAGTGACATTAAATCCAGTCTAACCAGATGTCAGCCAATCAGAAGTGTTTTAATTTCCTCATTCCTCGGCCTCACCTGCCTGAGCTCATTATTAAATTCACCTGTGTCGAGTGTTGGAGATGTAAAAATGTCTCTAATGATCAGCTGGATTTTTATCTGATGACTGAAACAGTTTAAGTGTCTTTCCTGTTTCACACTTTGTCACAGATCAGATGGTGCAGTTCCACCATCTGTCCACTGGATGGTGCTGATTGACCCTCTAACGAGCTGCAGGTCAGCCGTCAAATATCAACAAGTAAGAGCAGAAAGTGAAAACTGTCACATCTAAGTATCTGATCACAAACACACCATCATCACACTGAGTGAAATACAAAGTCCAGGTAACATGAGACGCTGAATTCTACTGGAGCAACTCTGGATGTGTGTGTGAGGACAGTGTGTAACAGAGAAGTGTGTGTGTGTGTGTGTGAGAACAGTGTGTAACAGAAGAGTGTGTGTGTGTGTGTGTGTGTGTGTGAGGACAGTGTGTAACAGAAGAGTGTGTGTGTCTGAGGACATTGTGTAACAGAAGAGTGTGTGTGTGTGTGTGTGTGTGTGTGTGTGTGTGTGTGTGTGAGGACAGTGTGTAACAGAAGAGTGTGTGTGTGTGTGTGTGTGAGCACAGTGTGTGAGGACAGTACTGTGGGAACAGTTTAGGCTGGTTGGGTTTTTGCGTCAGGCAGAAGATGAATGGATGAATTTAGAGACAGTTTTGATGTGACAGTAGAAAGAGAGGGCGGAGTCAGGAATGACACCCAGGTTGTGGACTTTTAAGGAAAGGTGGATGCAACAGCGAGGAGGACACTTCTCCAGCCTTCTGGAGCAGCAACCTGGACGCCACAACCATGGGCTCTGTGTGGGGACAGTGTGTGTGTGGGGACAGTGTGTGTGGGGACAGTGTGTGTGTGGGGACAGTGTGTGTGTGGGGACAGTGTTTGTGGGGACAGTGTGTGTGTGGGGACAGTGTGTGTGTGGGGACAGTGTGTGTGGGGACAGTGTGTGGGGACAGTGTGTGTGTGGGGACAGTGTGAGGACAGAGGACAGTATGTTTGGTCTCCTGATTGCCTGCAGAACAAGGGAAATGATAACTTTCTGTTTCCTCTTTTGGTCTGGTTGCTGATTGGTTGGTTTTGGTATTTTCGTCATCACTGCGTCGTTTGACCTTTTTAAACCCTAACAAAAAAAAAATCCATTAGTCCGTCCGTCTTCAGAGACACACCTTTATGTCTTCAGTCTGCTGTTAACTCTCAGCAGGACGTTGACACTTTACAGCGGGACAGAAATCTGAAATCATCTCAAACTGTGAGTCTGACAAATCTTTGTCTCCTGTAAAACTGAAAATGTTTAAATCTTCAATTTTATTTTCTGACAGAAAACATCTTCACTGAGCGCAGACTGTCTCACCTCACCGACTGATTTATTATTGTTTAAAGAAAATAACTTGTTTTATTTTTTAACTTTTATTCTATTTTTCGTTCTTTGTATTTTCTTAAAATTGCCTCATTTTATTTGTGTGAATTCCACATTGTTTAAAATCCGGGATCAGACATGTGAAGCACTTTGTAACTTTGTTTTCAAAAATGCTTCATAAATACATTTATTTTTATTATTATTATTATTATTATTGTTATCAAAGGCTGTAAATGCAAAGTTCTTCTCCCTGACAGCTCTCTCCATCAGACCTCACCAGCTGTGATTCTGAGATTTTATGTGTAAATATGCAAATACACAACAGTTAGTTCTGACGGAGCGATCTGATTGGACAGGAGTCGTTCAGTGTGCTGATATACGGGATAACAGCACTGAGACTTTTAACTCTGCGTGTATCACTCCGCCTTACAGCTGCTCTGAGACATTACTTATGTTGATTATTCATTAGCCGACATTAAGGGTCATCAGGACAAACTTTGCACCACTAAATGAAACATAACACCATAAATAATATTTGAGTTAAATAATGAACGGTCAGAAAAGAACAAAGGGATGAAAAAAGGCCTGAACACTTCACTGTAAATGTCCAGGTGTGATCATGTGACATCAGAAGACGACGCAGTGTGCTGATCAAACACATTCCTCCACAGAGACTGTCGGACTGATTTCACTGGTCGACAAATAAACTGAGACACACACATACATCAGAAAATACTTATTAAAAAATTGCTTATCAGATTTTTAGAAATAATGAAATATGAACCATCTCCTCAGAGAAAAAAACGAGCAGGATTTATACTTCTGCACTGAATCAATGCTGTGTGCTGAAACCATTTCCCTCAGTGGAAATAAGTGTTTATTTGCTTTTGTTACGATCCAGTTCAGAGGAGCCAAATGCAGATCAAACAGACAGGTTGAAGTTTTCAACAGATGACGAGCTTTAATGTAGCTGGTCAAGGACTTCCAATGAAGGCAGGCAACTCAAAATCCAAACTAAAAACCAACCAGGAAAAGACACGATGACCAGGGATGGATGCAGGATGAACCCATGATGAACACACAAGGTACGCAGACGGACGGACAAAGGGAAACACAGGTATAGACACACAGAAGACTAATCACCAGGACGAGACACAGCTGGAGGAGGAAGACAAGACTGATACAAAACAGGTGTGAAGGGAAGACTCAGGGAACAGGGAAGGATTCATGAGGCAGGTGTGGCAGAAAACAGGCGGGAAAATGGTACGTATGTTTTGTATTCAGAGGTCGGAAGTCAGAATGACGTCACCTCCGAGTTGACAACAGTTTTTGCATTCTAGTTGACGACGGTGGACAAGTCGGAAAAAAACATGGACGCCCGCAAGAAAGCCTTTGTTGCCCAATAGACAGCTTCAAAACCATCATGCACTCCAACTGATGAACGCCGCAGATGAGGCTGACCTGATGTGAAACAAATAAGATAAAGTTGCTATAAACAGTACTTTAGCAGAGTATTGACTCATGATGTATGTGACCGGCAGCCATCTTGAATCGATAAGTCGGGGTTGATGCGGTTGTTCCGAGTTTCCGAGTTGGAAATCCCACCTCAGGGTGCGTTCGAGTTTAAACTTTTGACCAGGAACTGGGAATTTCCGACCTCCAAGTACAAAACGAACGCACCAATAAAGCACAAAGACAGGAAGTAAACCCAGACATGACACATGGGGAGAGAACCTACAAAATAAAACAGGAAGCAGATTAAACAAAAAACTCTACAAGGTAACAGAATATGAACAAAAACCAAACAGGATCATGACATTTCACAGATAAGAAACAATAAACTGTGAAGACAACAAAGCCTCCACGAAAATAACATTTTAGGTCTGGTGTGTGATTTATCCTGGCTAATATATGAGCACAGGCTAATTTATACAATGTAAAATGCCATCGGCTTGTGCTAATAACGTTAGCATGTTTTGGAGGTGAAACTGCAGAGTGACACAGACACACAAGTATAAATGCTCACATTAGACCCAAACTAAGACACAACAGGTGAATAGAGTCAAAACTGTAACTGACAAATTTCACCATGAAACGTCCCAGCTGATGATCAGGACCAAACACAATCTGTGGGTTTTTAATTAATTGTTAATTAATTTCAGTGTCGATCCACAACAAAAATCTGTGGAATATTTTTTTGCTCATAACGTGATCGGCGACAATAATTTGTGATAACAGCTGTTTTTGAACCAAAATAACATCACACAACTCATTCAAACCTAAAATGAGCTCCAGCAGGCTGAAAGAACGACCGAGTAGATTTTAGAAGAAAACTTGAATCAGAAATTTGATTTAATCCTGAAAACGTCATGAAAACATGTGAACAACAAACTGTGGGACACACGGCCGTTAAAACTGAAGCTTCAATAGAGAGAACAAACAGTAACATCTGTCAACAGTAAATCTGAGTTCTGACATTTCTTCTCACCACGCCGCTCACTGTGACTTTAATGCTGACTGAATACAGCACACTTTTATTTTTTAGATATTTTTTTTTTACTGTATGTCCTTTTTTAACAAGCTAGAAAAGTGTCAAAACCATACAGTACTTGGTTGCAACGTAATATTTTAACAACAAAAATACAGCAGCACCCCCCTCTTGCCTCAAAAATGGTTTGATCCACCCCATCCCTCCCACCTTTCCCCGACTCAGGCTCTGAGCGCTCTATCTGCACAGAGCAATGCGCTGCCTTCCAGAGTAGGTGATATGCAGTAGTGGTGTAAGTACCTGGCTGAAACCAGGATATGTGGCACATTTCTTAACTTCTACCACTCACTACCAACACATTATTATCATTACCAACACATTATTATCATTACCAACACATTATTATCATACCAACACATTATTATCATTACCAACACATTATTATCAT